TGTTCAATACCTGTTGCATATTATTACCGGTGTACGCAATACACCTCAACTGCCATTCGCCCACCAATTCATTATATTTGGACGCATTGTGTATCACTTCGTATTGAGAATCTGTAATAAAATGCAAACATTAAATAATATTAAAATTATTTAAACCATTTTTAATTTAACGAAAACAAACCCGGAATGTAATGATTAATGAGACAGTTTGCGAGTTTGATCTCCTTATTAGCAGTCCTTACGGAGTCGAGTAAGTCTTCGTGAAGTTTCTCGTATTCCGACTGAATGTCAGTTAATTCACTTTTCGCGTCTTTTAGGTAATAAAATGCCTAAAAGATTGATATAATAATTGAGAGAATTGACAGAATCTACAGCTATGTTGTTATAATGATTACCTTTTTAAGCTTTTTATTGAGTGCATTCACCTCTTCCTGAAGTGTTCCGTAAGAGTCTTCCATTTCGAGAAACTCCTTTTGTTTCATCTCAAGAGTTGACTGCAATTGCCTTTCTTTGTCTCTTCTCTCTTGCAGTTCGGCTTCACTTTTGGCGATCAATTGCTGTTGCATTTCAGCCTTTTCTATCAAATTCTCTCCGCCAACGCATATCTTATTCTCTAAACTCTTGAGTTTCTCTAAGATTTCACTCGGAATCATTGGAACCATTGAGCCATTTATCTCATCTAACAAACAGATTAAAAATATTTTTAATTCAATCAAAACTTTTTAATTTGATTAAAATTACTATTAATGAGAAGTGAGTCTCCATTGGCTTCATTTTCATCGGCTTCCAACTCCAACTGTTGCTTAAGTTCTTGGATTTGTTCCTGAAATCGTCTGAGAAGAGCGTCCTTCGCGTCTTCATTGATAACGGCTTTATTTTTGATATGTTTAGTCGTCGACGCAAATCGTAAAGTACTAACACTTTCTTCAATATTCATTTTTGCCGGTCCTGTCAGTCAATGATAATAAAAATATTAATTTATTTCATGTTTTTATCACTCGTTTGTGTCATTTTATACCAATACAAGCGATTAGAAGAGTTTTTGAGTTTCCACCCAAAGAATCAGATAAAATACGAGTTAATTTGGAGTTTCTATCCAATCAGAAATATTGTTAATAATGTATTAAAAAATTATAAAAAAGAAACAACAAATACCGATAAGGAATATGAGTTGCTTTAGAGTCAGTGAGAGCTGCGATCACAAGAGATAAGGAAGTGAGGGATAAATTAATTTTTGCCGCCTCTTTAAGCCGATCGCCAGTAGTTCCTGTCTTCGACTGTCTCTCACTGCCGGCCAAATCAACTAAATTATATTTGCCGACTCTTAAGGACGCCGACTTGGGATCGCTTCCAATAATCATTTCGACAGTAATCGTGAATATAGTGTGCGAACGACTCGACTCTTTGTTCATATTAG